ATTTAAAAACTACCATCTCTATTGCCAATGCATGGAAAGAAGGAAAGGAGGGGTGGCAAAGACCAAGTATTATGGTTTGGATCTTAAACATCCCCACAGGCTCAGATGCTACAGGCTTGGCCTCCAGCTATGGTGTTACTGGGATGTTGTGAAAACTTTGAAGATGGGGTTACTGGAAGTAAGGACCCTGAGAATGTGCCCTTGAAGGGGGTGCCAGGACCCCAGCCACTTTCTCACACCCTTCACCCATGCTTTCCTGCCACCAGAAGGTATATAGACCTCCACATGTTTCATGCCACAATGTATCGTGCTGCACAGCTCAAGGTGGAGGGTCATGTGACTACGCATTGAAATCACAGTGATCCAAAGGAAATCTTCCCTCCTATAAGGTATTTACGTAAGTATTCTGTTGCATCAACAGAAACCTAACAGAAAAAAGAAGAGAGGGAGGGAAGCGCTAGGGAAGGAAAAGAAATGAAAAATTATGTGGCGTCTCAAATAAGCAGCACTGACATTTTGAACTGGATTGTTTTGGGGGAGGAGTTATAGAAAGCAGGTATTGCATTTTTAAAAAATTTTTTATTTATTTAATTTTTTTTGGTAGGACAGTTTCAATAATTAACACATTGCATACATTCTTCCTAGTGGTTAATTGCTGTACAAGATGCAGACATGATATCCTATTTACAAACACCATTAGAACAAATCACTCTATTCATGAAGAGAATGTAACTATGTATCTATTCTAACCACTTTGAATACACAGATACAAAATGGACATTCATCTGTATCCCCCTTTTTTGTTAAGTTCCATTATTTGAATATTATAGGTGTGTAAACTCAGCAAAATATTCTAAAAGAGTCCAGTAGCCCATAATAGTATAGGGTCTTCCACTTGACTGGCAATGTCAGAAATTGGTGACCTGAGTCCCCTACAGCTCAATATAACAGCATGGCTTTACTTCTTATATTTCGTTTTTATACTTTTCTGCTGGATGGTTAAGACCAAGGTAAAGCAGGACCTATGCAACAAGAGTTGTAGCTTTTGGGTCTGATAAAGTCCTGAGAATCTTCAGAAGATTTTTTAATCTAGCATTTAATTGGAAAGATTCTCACCCTGACTAACTATATATACTGATACCTGTGAACTAAGCTATTGCACTGCAGATGGTAATCTGTAATGGATTATTTTGTTGTTGGGAGGTGATTTGCACACTGTAGGATGTTTGGTAACATACACACACACACATAGTTGTAACAACCAAAACTGTCTCTAAACACTGTCAGACAGTCCCAAGGTGGACTGGATGGCACAAAGTTACCTCAGTTAGGACCTACTGGTCTACACCCACAATATAAAGACCGATCAGTTTCACTGTATCCATTAAAATAAATTTTAACATTTATGACACATTTGTCTCTGTAGATTAATGACTCAGAGTGGAGACTATAACTAAGTTTTGAAATCAAGAACCAAATAAAAGAATGCTGCCTGTAGGGTAGTAACAACTTCGAAATGTCGCTGTGGTGCCAGACATGGTGACACATGCCTGTAATCCCAGCACTGCGAAGGCTGAGACACAAGGATCTTTGTGAGTTTAACACTCTTCTGGGCCACATAGTGAGCTCAAGGCCAACCTGAATTTCACAGTACAACCCTATCTCAAAAAATCAAAGCAACGCAGCGCAGCTGTGGTAATTAGTTATGGTTATCACTTTCATCAACAGTCCTTTTTTACTTAATTCTAAGAATTTTCTTTTGAGTGTTCTTTTGGGGTGACCACTTACTTGGTTACCCTGTCACTAAGGCTTAGTCTCATTAGCCATTTAGTGTTTACATAGAAAAAAAAAGCCTGAATATTTTAATTTTTAAGCAATGAAATTTAAATCAAAATTAAGTATTATTTAAATCATTTAAATATAGTATACTTTGACACAGTACTAGGCAAAAAGTAAACAAACTAGTACTTGGCTATCATTGCAAATATATATACATGCTAAGGGTAATATACAGAAATAAAGTAACTATAGGTGAATCTTACAAATTATATTCAGCTGCCTAATATGTTCCATCCCTGAGCTATACACATTGTTTTACACAAGAAATAACTTCCATACATTTACATTAGCATCCTGAATTTTAAAAACTTTAAAATTTGTATATATATATATAATTTTTTTAAATGTATTTGGTACAGGGTTTCACTCCACAGCTTTCAGCCTCCCCAGCTCTGGAATTACAGGAATGTGCCACCATGCCCAGTCTCAGTGGCTTGATCAGCACACCTGGGGGCGGGGCAGGCACAATGTGTGGTTCAGGGATCAAACGCCAGTCTCTGCACTTGCCTAAGCAGGTGCTTAGTACACTGAGCTATCTTGCTACCTGGCACAATCACCAACTGCCCTCAATAAGCCTTAATTTAAAAAGAACCACAAAAATCTTGGAAATCATAGGCCATTTAATAGTCAATTCTGCCAAATGTAGTAGCTCATGTCCACGGTCCCGGCACTGGAGAGGCTGAGGCAGGTGAACTGCAAGTTGAAGGTCAGCCAGTGCTGTGTAGTGAGTTCAAGGCCAGCCTGAAGCACATAGCAAAATCCTGTCTCAAAGCACAACAACAACAACAAAAATAGTCAATTCTATTTTAAACCACACACAATATCTGATATTCTTAAAGAAGTTAACTGTGAATATGCTATAGAAATACAGCAGATTTAAAATTTGTGAACTGCAACAGATGAGGCCACCCCTCTACATTTATATTTGTGGAGGGCTCCTGTTTAGTGATGAAGGACTTGATTATTCAGATCAACTCTCCCAACAAAAGCTTATAAAGCTAAACAAAATACAAATTTAACAACAACAACAAAAAAAAACCCTACAAAATTAACCATAAAATTGCAATGGTGTAACTTTCATCTTTCACTGGTTCAAATCTGAAGTACTCATTCACAAAGTAATAAAACTGCAACAAGCTCAGCTTGACTGTACACACATATAATCCCACAATTTTAAGAAACTGAGGCAGGAGCATTATAAGTGAGCCTACCTTGTGCAACTTAGAAAGACACGGTCTCAAAAATAAAAAAGGGCTGAGAATATAACCTAGTTCCCTGGGATTAATCACTATAGAACTTCAGTGTGATATATACACTTAAACAGTGGAAACCTGTCTAAAGTCTTCACACACATGCCCTCTATCACTCTCTATTGTAAAGTGCAACATTTCAAGCCGACTCCATTTTTTCACTGTGAGCCCTGTTAACACTACTGAGTAACAGCACCAGAAAAAACTACCACTGCACAATGACAAATCAAATATCAGAATTTATTTCATTTGATAAAAATTATATCAATGGCAAATAAAACTAAGGGAAATATAGTAAAAATATGCAAGATTTGAGGAATTCTTTTGTTGACAATGACTCTCAGGGAGACTCAAATTAGTACTGCAATTCCTTAGCCATTCTTTTGCTCTTTCAAGCCCTTTTCATGCCCCATTTCTTAAGCTATGGGCCAAGGGAGAGAAAAAGTACAAAAAACCAGAATGAACTAATCAGCATGTATTTATGCATTTAGTCCACTCTAACTTTATTCCCACAGGTTTTTCTTCATTCTCTATTCCAAGGAAGAAATTTATGTTTATTCATCTCTGAATTCCTAAAACCTAACCAAATGCCCTTAGATAAAGTCATCTTACATGGCAAATGATGGACAGGAACAAGAGATAGAGAAATTAAAGAAAGAGAGATCTCACCTTCATAGTACCTGTAGATGCTGGTTGTAGAAAGCCAATCAACTAATAAAAAACCAGTGAGTACAGCCCCATTGCCTGCCCTCTTTTCTCTCGATGCCAACAAAAACTCAAAGGAAGAACAAAAGCAGGCTTTCTTTTCAAAAATACAAACCTTGACCATTCCCGAGTTCCATATTCATATATTCACACACATGCAATATGTCCACATGGAGACAGTTACAGGATTAACTGCATGGACTCCAAGCCAGACTGCTTGGGTATGAATCCCAGCTCCCTCACTCACAAATTGGTTAACTTAAGGCAACTATCTGTGTCTCCATTTTCTCACATGTAAAATTGGGACAACAGGGCTGGCCAAATAGCTCTGCAGATTAAAGCACCTGCTTAGGCAGACTCAGGGGTCGGGAGTTTGATCCCCTGGCCTGCTGTGCTGGCACCACTCCCAGGGTGCACTGAGAGGGTGATTGAGACTGGGCATGGTGGCACACACCTGTAATCCCAGCTTTTGGGAGGCTGTAAACAGGAGGATAACTACAAATCCAATCTACGCAGTGAGACCCTGTACACCCTGTATTAAAAAAAAAAAAAAAAAAAAAAATTGGGACAATAAATCTTAAAAGAAAAAGAAATTTGGGATAAAATATATACAAAAAGACTAAAACACCCTGCCTAGAACAGTCTATATTTACACTGTGCACACTATTATTACTAATATTACTACATCCAACAAGCATCTAAAGCTTGCTCAAAACTGAATTTCCTCCCAAACTACATTCTCTGTGTCCTCTCATTTCCTGTTCTCCTTGTTTCAGCTTAAATCTAATAAGCTATTAGTTTTCCCTTTTCCTCACTCTTCACAACAACAAGTCTGCTTAAAACGTTACAGATTCTACCTCTTATTATCATCTCCTACCACCTCCCTGGCCTAGAAGTACCACCACCTGGTCCCCCAAGACATAGTAACATCCACCAATCTCTCCATTTTTATTCCACCTACCATCCTAAGACTATATAGTAAACTCTTCTCACAAAAAAAGCTTAAACCACATGGCATTTTCTTTTTTTTTTTTTTTTGCGGAACCAGAGATTGAACTCAGACCCTTGCACTTACCAGGGAAGCGCTTATTATACTGAGCCATCACCCCAGCTCCTACATGCCATTTTCTTGATACAAACCTTTGCCATTACACTTACACTATTACTTCAATACAGCCTACAAGTACCCCCAGGAACCCAGCAAACCTTTCCACCATCAGCTGCACTGCTTTCCTCTCTTCTTACTGGGCTCTGGGCATTCTCATCTTGCTGTTTCTTGTCAGCTTTCAGGCTTCTTTACATCTCAGAAACATGACCTGTGCTCAGAGACAGAAGAATATAATCATTTGGAGCATGGGCTTTCAAGTCAGATTGTCCAAATCCAGATCTATTTTTACTATACTTTAGCTTATCCTGCGTCAGTTTCCTTCTCTATAAAAATAGAGATATCATTATTTACTTCATAAGATCATTATAAGACAGTAGTGTTTGGTACACTACCTTATGCATGGTAGGCTGGCTCTACCTAAGTGCTCAATGCCATTATAATCCCTCCCCAAGACGTCCTGATTCAAACTCTTCCTCTCCTTTTAACTGCCTTCTCTAAAAAGCCCTAAAACAATTTTTGTTTCCCAATGGCCTTCTCTTAGCTTCCTTTATTTCACTGGACTTAGTCTTTTGTGAAACTGTTTTATGTACTTGTTTCTTTGTCCTTTCCTTTCCCAATTATACGTGCTTTTTGTTTCCTATTTCCCTACGGTAGCATAAAGTTGGAGATTATTCTTCACTGCTCTATTTCTAGTTCTGACTCAGAATCTGACTTCTGATCGCACATATCTTATGCAAGCTTGAGACTGACGCAAATCTCTTAATTAACAATGCCATACTTAGAAAGCCTTTCATTTTCATACTCATGATCTCATTTAACCCTTGAAAAAGCAACAGCAGCTATACCATCATCTCCCATTTTAGATATAAAAAGGAAGTTTCAAGTTTAGACAACTTGTCATTAAGCACAAATCTTATAACTAGTACTGTAGAACAAAACATAAGGCAGCCCTGCTTTCTAAGGCCCCACCCACTAGAATGAGAAGATACACCATTGAAGTCAATTTACAGAAATGTGATCTCTTAATCTCTTGTATAAATACACCCTGAGGTGTGTTGAATATTTTTCTCTTCCAAATTCCCAATAAGCACTTGTCCCAGTGTTTGAGAAGTACTGCAATGTAGTACTAACTCATCATTTATGTTCTAACACTAGATGGGAGTCTGTCAAGCCATTTAAGTCAGGTAGGATGACTGAGTATTCTAAGCTGACACAACTCCCTAAAACTAGTGTGTCTGTTTTGAGCATAAGTTCCAGTTCCAGCATGCTAACAGTTTTCTCTCCAAAACCCACATAGAGCACGGCAGTGCTGAGATCACTGTACTAATGACACCAGTCACTTATTGATCCCTGATCCATCAGGTTCCCTGACAATACTTCACATTAGCCTCAGGCGAGTGTCATGATCATATGGGGTGGGACAGGGAGTGTGAGTAGTACCAAAACTGCGAGAAAAGTCCCTATCTATAAGTCCCTACCTATAAAAGGCTATGGGCTACCAAATCCTGAAAAATCACCAATTGTCCGTCTAATCTTTCTATAGCATTTTTACACGCTTGTGTTAGCTCACGTGCTTTCAGGATGTTCCTGGTCCTGTAGGAGTGACAATTAGAGAGGGTAGGGTCGCATCCCTGCCTTCCCTCTAATGGACAAAAGAGAAAACTGAGGCAACAGATGGTTTATCTTACTAATTTGTCCTCAATGATACGGACATTTCAGGTAACACCAAAGAAACCAGACACAGGGCTAGTCTCTGAAGGGTCTGGTGAATGAAGAATAAGAATCCAAACCCGTTTATCAAGAAACCTTAAAGAGAGACGCTCCATTTTTACGTTTCACCTTCCCGGGCCTCGAACGCAGGCTCCAGGATTTTCTGCCCTGGGGAGAAGGTGCGGCCCAGCCCTGGCCTCCCCGCACCCTGGGCCCCGGGCAGCACCTAGCCCTGCGCCACGCCGGGCAGCTCCCTGGTCACGCGCCCCACATCCGCCACCTCACCGGCATAGCCGGCGCGGGCAAGCCCCGCAAGCCTGTGGTACTGCAGGGATTCTCACAAACTTACAGTTTTCCTACAGCGTGCGCGTCACGGCGGTGACGTCACGGCCACGGCGCCGGGGAGGTCCGGCCGCCAGTAGCGCGCGCCCGGCTCAAGCCCCGCCCCCAGCGCCGCCGCGGGAGAGACGCCTGAGCACCGAGACCCGCCCCTGCCGCGCGGCCCGCGCGCAGGCGCAGATGCCCGTGCGGATGGGCTTCGCGGGATGGAACGTGCAGGGCAGCGATGCTCTAGATTTGTTAAAGTTTATTCACCGGGCTGAGGTGGGCTGGGGAGAACGAGCAGCAGGGGTCAGGGATCCCAGGGATGCAGCACACAAACTGTTGCCTGAGGGTTGAAGTAGGACGTCAGGGTTCTGAATCTGTCCAGACATTGCCTTGCTTCCCTCACGTGTACGGTGAAAGTTGTCCACGTGTGGAAACAGCCATTGCGTTCCACCCGTGTTGGAACCAAGACAGCCCTGACCAGTCAGTTCTCCCGTGGGTCCCGGATGACCCGGTTCCCAGCAGGCTCCGCCCCGGCCCGCCCTTCTCAGACTGACCCCGCCCACCCCGCGCCCCGCCTGGCGTAGCCCCGCCCACCAGGGAATCTACCCAAACCCTCCCCCCCCCTCCCGGGCGCGCCCTTCCGGCTCCGGCTCCGGCTCCGGCTCCTGCTCCCGGCTAGCGTCCTCCCTCTCCTGGCTCCCTCCAGCCCCGCCCAGCTCTCGATTCTCTTCGAGGCCTTTCTTTGCAGACTTTAGCTGCTCCTTTTCCTACTAACGTCCTCTTTCGGCCCAATGAGGTACGTTGTAGGTCCCTTTTGATCTCTTAAGTTTAACAAGTGCGATCTGTGTAAGCGTGCGTGTAAACTTTCCAACCTCGGCCGCCCACGTGACAATACTTTCTGTGTCCGATTGGGACTCTGTTCACACTCCTAGAAACTAGGATCTCTGGTTAAAAGATGGCTCGGTAGAAGGAAAAATGTGGGCGCAAAAAGCTGACAACATCGTAACTTGATTTCTAGTTTCTTATTACTTTCACAAGCGGAAAAATAAATCTTATGATGTAAGTGACTCCAATAAATCTTGGGGCAAGAAATAAAGAATGGGAAAAACAAGACCGGGGGGGGGGGGAACAGATGGTAAGGAAGACGTATTGAGAATAACAAGAATCACTTTTTATAACTTACTTGCAACCGTGGCAGATGACCAGATCAGGAATTTTGCTACGCAGCTCCAGTGTAGGTGAAACTTAAAACAGTGCTTTGTTTACAAACTCAATTGGAAAGGATGATGGGGGAGGTAAACTGTAGATCGCAGTTGGTTAAAAATGTTTTTCTGAAAAAATATTCACAAGGTTTTTGAAAATTTCTAATTTGAATAATGCTTATACATCTTAATATTTGATTGAATATTAAATGATGTAAAAAAGTCCATTATAATTTTATCAGTATACATTTTGTTCTCCGCAGTAAAAGTACAGAAAAAGCACTTTAATTGCTTCACATACCTTTACAATAGTTTATTTATATTTTTCTTTACAAAAGTACAATTTTTGCTGAGTGCTATAGTGAACACCTGTCATTTCAGCTGCTCCAGAAGTTGAGGCAGGATCATAGATCCTGTTGTTCAAAACTGAACAACAGCAAGTCTGTTGGATCGTAGATTTCAGCCCAGCATGGGCAGTTTAGGGAATGGAGATGTAATAAAATGGTTGATAGCCCCTAGATTTGATGGGAGGGTACATTTTTATTACTTTTAAATTATCAATTTCATGATGTACGTACTTACAAAATGATTTATGAATACCGTGCCCCAAAATGGCAAGATTCCAGATATACCTGAGTTAGTCTATCAGCCATGATTTTAGAGAAAAAATTGGCAAAGAAATATACAACATATATATTAAATGTTTTTTATTATAAGGATGCCTCTGAAAGATAGTATAACAAAATGTATTCTCATTCAAGTTTTTTTTAATCTATTAATGAAGGAAAGAAAGAAATTTATTAAATAAAAGCCTGGCAAACAAAAATATTCAAAGTAGGGAACTCAGAGAATGTAAAGTAAAAATGTGTGTGAAAATACACAATCAAATTCAGCCAAGTTTCTGTAGCAAACAGGAATTTGATTAGATGGGTAGGAAGAGGCTAGGGTCAAAGTGGTGATATTAGAGAGAAAAACTGGAAGAGAGCTGTTTTCTTTAAGGAAATAAAACTATGTTCTCTTGTGATTCCTTCACATTGATGCCTGCTGCCCTTAGCAGTCTTGCTTCCAGAGCCTTCTACTTCGATATACATAGCTCTGGTCTATTTAACAAGCAGAGAAAAGCAGAGCACCCCCACCAAAAGTGCTTAGTGATAGAGAGAAAGAAAAAATACAATGGCTTAGATTTATTCAAGTGTTTATTGTATACCAAGCACTCCATTATTTTATTTAATCCTTTTTACTTAATAAAATAAATTATTATGGTTAGATAATGTTACAAGGCTAGCAGGGTGTGAAGGAGGGCCCATATCACTTGGCTATTGAGTAGCAGTCAAGATTTGAACCTCTATGCCAGAATTTAGCATAATCTCTGATCTTTATCGTTTCATATAACATAACACATATAATGCAAGAAACAGAGACACTTAGAAAGTCCAACATAATTTATGCTTAAATTTTAGCTCATAAATACTGATCACAATGTGTTGGTATTTTCTTCACTATTAATCATCTCTACTGGATGAGTCTTTTCATTTTTTTAAGGTGCTCATTATGGCCAACAAAATTGATTTTATGACACATTAATGCAGTGCCAGTGTGAATACTATTCATAGTGCAAAATATCAGTTTGTATCACATGTAAAAAGAGTAATTTTTCCCAAAACAAACTTGAGAAAACTAATGTCTCCGTAATATGTGTATATTTTGTGTTGTAGTGTTAAATATATTTCTTACTATAGATCTCAGTCAAAAGCATTTTTAAAACTTTACTGTTATAATTTGACTCCGGAACATTCCCCAGAGTTCCATGTAGTAGAGTTTTCTCTCCAGGTTGGCACTATAGGAAAACAATGGAACCTGTAGAAACCTAGCCTAGTAAGAGGACTTACGTCACTATGTAAGTCCTATGGGTGTTCACCTGCGGAGGGTTGTAGGAAACTGGTTTCTTCTTCCTCTGTCTTTGCTCCCCAGCCATGAGGTGAACACACCCCGACACATATATAGCCCCAGTCCCAAAAACAATGAGACCAAGTAACCATGGACTGAAACCTCTGAGACCTTAATAAACTTTTCATCCTTGTAAGCTGATTAAGTATTTTATCACTGTGATGGAAATCTAACACAATTACTATTTGACCTATGTACTGTTCATCTGTACAATCGACTGAGAAACAAAGTCCCACTCTACAACCCCCTTGAATCCTCTCTAAGCTCCAAGATTTGATCGAAGAGAGTGTTTCACACACACAATAATCAAGTCACTTCTGATGAAAACTGGAAATTATCTTAACTGTTATCTCTGTAAGACTATGGGTTTTGTGAGAGTAGAGTAAATGATGTTATAGAATAATCTCTAATTCTTTGCTGTACCATTCCCTTAAGTAGGTAAATGTGTGCTGGAAGCAAAAGATGGATAAATTTAAATTCTAAGAATGGGTAGATTTCTTATAATGACTTTCAGAAAAGGGAGCAGTATGTCAGTAGAAATAATGCTGAGAAGAATCCTTTAGGAAGGAAAACATCTCAATGCCAATGCCACATAATGTAGCAGAGTACCAGAATGCTACCAGAATTGTGCCAGCTTGATTATGACCTGAGGAGTTTCCTACAAAACAATACGTTTTCCAGCTATCAAATGGTTAGACTCACTAAATATTATTCTTCATGAATAACTTATGGAGTGTTACCTCTCTGGAGAATTAAGGCAAGTTACCTGGAATCTTACTTATATGAAGTCTGAAAGATCCAGGCAGGCAGTGAGTGAGAGAGCAGTTAATTCTCTTAAAGGACACTGGACCATAGCTGCCCCCAGAAGAAAGAAGGGAGGTGTGTAGAGTGAGGAATGAAACAGGAGGCCAAGCTCCTTACTTTGTCCAGTTTGTGATGAAGCACAGGACCAGTAAAGCTTCAAATTTAAGCTGAAAGAACCAAGTGCCTTTACAAGTATTTTGGGATTGGGAGAGAGAAGAAGGTGTAGAACAGAAAAGAAGATATCAAAAAGATTAGCAGTTTCTCAAGGCAGAAAACCTTACCTCCTTCAGCACAAGACTCTAATACATGTGGAATATCTCCTAGAAATACCTCATAACTTTTGTATACTCTTCACAGAAATCTGTTTTCTCTCTTGCTACTTGAAGAAGACTTGTTCCTCTCCAAATCCAAGTTCTATCATTAATTGCCTCTGCTAATGGATGATTTTTACTAAATGCTTATAAGGTTTGCTATTGTGCCCCCAAACTCACTCCCAAATTCATATGCTGAATTTCTACTGTTTATTGTGGCTGACTTGGAGATAAGGTCTGCAGGAGATAAGGGTAAATGATATCCTAAGTGTAGGACCACAGTCAGTAAGATTGGTGTCCTAAGAAAGGAAAGAGACGCCAGAGTGCTCTCTTCCATCATATGAGGATGCAAAAAGAAAACAGTCATCTGCTGGCCAAGAAGCGGGCCCTCACAAGAAACCACATAACTGGACCTTGATATTGGGCTTTCTGTTGTTTAGAACTATAAGAAATAGGTTTTGATGTTTTCAGCCATCATGAAGTCTGCTATTTTATGATACCCAGAGCCGACTAAAGGAACCATATCAAGCAAAATAATCCAACCCCAATTTCATCTTTTTATGTTTCCCTGAATCTCCTTACTCCTTACAATGATTGGATCATTCTTTTTTGTTTTTGTTCCTTACCACAACTTCTCATACAATATTCGTCCATTTTTGTTTTATTTCTTAGGTGAGCCTTGTTGTTTTGCCCAGACTGGTCATGAACTCCTGAGCTCAAATGATCCTGCTGGCTCAGACTGTCAAGTGCTAGAACTGCAGGCAGGTGCCAGCATACCCAGCTAGTGTTCATCAATTTTAGCACACATTTTTTTTAACATTTAAATATCTCTGAAATCAGAG